AAAAAAAATCGAAGCTCAAATAATTAAAAAATTATAGGTCTGACCTTTAATAAGATAAGAATTACGTAATTATCTGACATTCGAATGCTTAAAAAAAAACGGGGTGCTTTTTAAAAAAATAACCATATTTTGGTCCGATTTGGCTGACAGCCACGACCTTGAAAACAGAATTTCGTTCAAAATTGTTAATCCTGGAAAATAATAATTTATTTTTCATATCCACCTATTTAGTTCGCTATAAGCACAAATTGTTCAAACCAGCCGCAGAAGAAAGTATTAAAAATTAATTACAAAAACTAAAATCGAAAAACGCTGATGAAGTTACAGATTCCCCAAATTCTGAAACAGCCAAAGGAATGAGAATGAAGAATTCTATTTAAAAAGCTTTAGAAAATCCAGACATCCGGTTTGGCTTATACGCCCTGTTTAAACAACGATCTCGCCATTATGCTAGATTCTAATTGTTTCTTAAAAACACTTGACATCCGCATTCGCATTCGCATCCGCGGATGTGAGCTGTTAGATATTCGCATCCGCATTCGCATCCGCGGATGTCTAAAATTCCACATTCGCAACATCCCTGGTTTGGAGCCTGATTATGACTAGTTGGTGACCAGTTCGGGAGCACGTTTACATTAACGCGCTTTCTTGTTTATCCAGATTTCAGTAGAAATTTTGCAATCGATTTTAAGGCGACTATCCGATAAACTATAGACTTGAAAATTTAAATATATGTAGCTCAGAATCCGGCTGCCATTCAATATTTCAGGTTTCAAAGAGTTTTTTTTAAGATATAGACGATTTAAATTTCGCACTTACTTTGTCGTATGATATTGGCAATGATATTTAGGCGAAAAATAAGAATATTATAAATTTTTAGAAAATGGTCGTGGCCCGGCCCTTTATGATTACATGTGTATATCTCGGTAACCGCTTCATGAATTTCTCCTAACCTTTGCACAATGGTTGTTCCTGTTAAAGACGTTGAAAACACAACAAACTCTTAACAAGAAATAAGATTATTATGGAGTTTTGGAAAATGGACATATCACCGCCCACCTATAACTGTATAACTTTATCTCATTAAGTCTAGCTGAGCATACTATGTTTTAAATAGGGATAAAAACACCCCTGCTTACCATGTAAAGGTAGTTTTCGGATAACTTTTCATATGCGTTTTGGAGAAGTATACATTGTCAATATGGTGTAGTTCGGCGTTATGGAACATTATACTTTGTACGAACATATGCAAATCTATGTGAGCAGCCTATGTTGATAGTCTTTTATGCAATTTTTGTAATTAAGATATTTATTGCAGTCCTGATGATGACTTCAACTGAAGTCGAAATATAGACGATTTAAAAACAACAAAAACAGATTGTTTTATTTCAACTCAGCATTGAGCTCAAAAAAATCCACATATTTTTAAAATATTTTTTTTTTTTATGACGAGGTGATTTATTTTGTGAGAGCCAACAATGAACAGAACCCGAGGTGTAACAATTTGAAGAAGTACATGATTATTTAGTCAGAATCACGAAAAAATTCAAAATTTGACAGAACATATATTCGAAGAAAAAAAGGAAAAATGTGATATGAAAAAGAATGCCTCATATATGTATATGTTATATATATTATAACATAGAATAATAGTAGTGTTAGAATTGTAACATGTGACACATAAAGTTATTAAAGAGGACCTCAGAAAAAAAAAGATTTCGAGAAAAACGACTTTGAAGTTTACCAAGTTGATTTTGATGCTTCTGGACGTTTTAATGGATTGAAAGTCGTTACTTGGGGGTTCTCGGGGTCGCCGATTACGAATCCGATGTTAGTTTCCCAAAATTCGCAATGGCGGATCCAATATGGCGGATGACTTTTTTAAAAATTGATCGGAATCGCTTGAAACTCGTTATCCGGGGGTTTTTGGTGTCGCTGATTACGAATTCGATGTTCGTTTTTAAAAATTCAAAATGGCGGATCCAATATGGCAGAAAAAATTTTTAATTTGTTCGGATTCATGTGAAACTCAAAATGTCGTTGACACCGAAAACGAGGTCAGTGATTACGAATCCGATGTTCGAAAACCCCCGAGTAACGAGTTTCAAGCGAATTTAATTAATTTCAGAATAGTTTGTCAGATTTGATTTTTTTATACTTTTTTTTTGTGAAAGTACCTAACTTTGAAGTGAAATTGTGAAAAAACTAATGCAGCTAGAAAGCTGCGGTTTATTGCATTGGAAAGAGTGGCCCGTTTACTATAAGAGTTGATGAAAAAGTAAAAAGCGATTTTTTCTGAACGTAGGTCCCTTCTAACTTTACGTGTCACATATATTATTTGATTATTTGTAGGGTTGCATTTTATAATTCTTTTATGCCATTACAGGGTCTGAATTTCGTTTTATTTTAATTTGGTCGTAAATAAAATTATATCCCGGGATCCCGAGGGCTTGATCCCGGGACATCGGCACTCAAAAAAGGGCCGGGACACCCGAGATTCAGGATTCCGATCCCGGTACTATGCCTTAATTTTGACGTTTTGGAATGCACCCATACTCTACAACAATGCCGGCCAAAACGTCCACAATGTGCAGTTTTGCCTTCGTGTTTTTACACCAACGCTAACAATAGTCGTGTTTTCGTATTCTCCAGCAAAAAAAAGTCCAGTAACTTGCCAGTAACCAAATTTCGGCCAATATTTACTCCCAATGAGAGAAATATGCAAGGAAGTACGAAAACGCAAAACCAGCAAGAAGTTGCAGCTGATTAATTTGTTATTTTGCGATGCAATTTTCTAAAAAAAAGTATTTCTCATGTTATTATATATTTAAATACGTTTATTTTGTCAATTGCAACTCTAAAAGTACCACAAACAATTCTTTTGGTAATGTGAATTGTATTAAGCATCATGCCATCAGCTGATAGCAAATAGTTACTAGTAAAAATCCAGTAAAACTTGCAAGTTAAGTTGTCATTTTTGCTCTCTCAATTCTCTCTCTTTAGCTGGTTTCTTGCAAGTTTTTGCGTATGAAAACACATGGAATTTATGGTTTTACTTCTCACACGCTTGACACGCACCCTTATGTAGATGCTTTAGTGGCTGCATTTCATTATTCATTCTGAACGTTTGGAAAAACTTTTTTGTTTACTTATTCTTTAAAATGTTCCTGATGATATGTTAACGTATATTTCAAACGCATTCTGTTTATTCTCGCTGTGAAATGGGATTATACGGAATGAATTAAGAAACGCAGCCAATATTTGTGTTGCCGGCATTGCTCTATAAAAAAAAATGTTTAACCAGATAACTAGGCTAGTGGGAACACGCACACTGTTTTGGGTTTGAATAAAACAAAAAAAAACTTACCGAATCCCTTCAGGAATACATCAACAAATTTTTTCTTATAAATTGTGTTTGCAGTTTGCAGACATTGCTGAAAGCACTCAGCACCTAAAGCAGCCGAATACTCATCAAAGTTAGCCCACAACTCTAGTAAGCGAAGTATGCAGCGCTCATACACCACTTTTGTTATATCTGTAAGACACTTTAACGTGCGCCTACTATGAGCCAATTGTTTATATTCAGGTTCATTACGCAGAGCTCCCACTTTTTGCGACACTACTTCTGACACATAACGGACCAGTTCCACACTTGAGCGCAGGGCTACAGTGTTCCGATTAGAGGCAAATGGCACGATGTCTCTATAAATTTAATTCCTTTCAATAATAAAATTATGCAACGATCTCTTTGATGCTTAACTTACTCATGTAAAACGCGTAGCAATTTATCCACGACGGACAAGTCCCATATATTTTCCACGTTATTTTTACTGAAATTCTTTACAACCACCCCATTAACAGTTATGTTTTTCAACGTAGCTCCATTCTCTTTATCATTCCTATTCTTATTTTGTAACTGTTTTCTGGAGAAACTTGCATATGACTATAATATATAATATAAAAAAATAAACAATTAATAATAATACAATATGTAGACATTATTTATGAGAGCGCTGCATAAATGAATTTTAAAGTTTTCAAAATACTTACTTATACTTGCTGTACCTCATTGCTTTCAGATAAAATAAAAAAATATTGCTTTCAGATAAATTTGAAAACCTACTTGAGAAAACTGCCCTTCATTTTTTTAAACTAAATTTCGGTAAAATTAAATTTTGGTAACATTTGGGGTGGATTAACCACAATCAGTTCGCTTTTGATTCACCAAAAACACGTTCACCACGAGAACTAAAATATCAAATTGTTGTTTTGTGGTTATTTTCACGATATTCTATGAAAGCAAAATACATTGGAAAATGTTAATAACGTTTAAACTATTAAAAACTAATATATTTCACATACTTTTAAATTTTCGCTCCTAAATACGCCAAAAACCTCCACAGCAACCACAAAAAAGTAGTTGCCCGGGCGTACATTAAAAATACTATTTCTAAAAATACATATGGGTATTTCCATACGTCACTACAAACAAGGATGTATGCGCATGATTAGCTCTATATTTAACCGAAAAATGAAAATAATCGAACCGCATGGTCCTTAAATATAAGCAATAAGCATACGCCGAATACGAACCAAATCGGACCGTAAATATGGTTTGTCGAAATATCTCGACCTTGGCTCCACCAAGCGAAACCTTTTTACGCAAACATTTTTCTACCTACATAGCCAGTAATAATTTAAAAAAGCAGACAATTTGGGCCATAAATACGTTAGATAAATGACTTTTATTTTTTATTTTTTGTCGCGGTAGACCTTCCGATGGAAACACCCATATGTGGTTCTTAAAAAGCCTTAAAAGAAAGCAATTTCAATTTTGAGGCACTTTTATCTCCTTTTTGGCACTACTTTTGCAGTCTATTATGCACATTTAAAAATTTTGGAATTCCATCCCTGATAGTTCTGTTAGTTAAAGCCAAAGAAGCTAAAAAACAAAAATCGCTTGCTAACTTCACGCAGCAAGCCTTTTTTCAGCAAAAACAGTTCTGATACCATCAACTTACGAGAAATAAAGAGTTATGCAGTTCTCTAATAGTCCCGAAAAAAACTGCGCGAAATTAAAAAAAAAAAAATTTGCACTAAATTTATATATATTTTTTTATTACCTTTTAATCAGAATTCCTGACAGCAAGGCAATAGTTCTACAGTTCCCTAACCAAATTTTGAATAGTTTTGTTAATTTAACCCAAAAAGCTAAAAAACCAAAACCGCTTGCTAACTTCACGCGCAAGTCTTTATTTAGCAAAAACAGTTCTGATACGACCAACTTACAAGAAATAAAGAGTTCCACAGTTCCCTAATAGTCCCGAAAAAAGTTCTGCGAAATCCGGAAAAAATTGTTACATACACACCTTTTTTTTGTAATTACTTTTTAATCACAGTTCCTACAAAACTGCATACTCAAAATGTGTAATTTTCAAAAATGATTGAAAATTCAACTTTTTTCGATTTTGGTCGCTAGTAACAATCATAATTTTAAGTTAAATCTGCAAGTTATATATTTTTGCAAAGGTAACATCAATACCTTTTGAATGGTAGGCTGCTTGTGTCGATTAAATGATTTTTTCGAAAGATATTGAGAAATAACTGCCAGAAGTACCAAAAAACACGTTTTTCGAAAAAAACTCGAAAACGCTTCTTTCAAAAAAAAAGAATGGGTATTGTTTTCGTGTTCAGCGACCCAAAATTAGCTTGGAAAACATTTTTTTTTCTTAGGTTGAAACGATTTCGTCAACGTAATTTCCAAATAGCTCGCTAGGTGGCGCTGGGGTCCAGATATTTTAAACTCCGTATTTATGAACCTCTTTTCTTCAAACTTTAAACGAACATTACTGTTACGATAAGAATAAATTTTGCAAAAACACTAACCCGCCATGTGGCGCTGGAGTCTAGATATTCAGAAAATTTATATTTATGGACCGATTTAGTTCAAGCCTAGTATGCATACATATTACCCTTATAGCAGTGTTTGCATAGTGAATCCCCCTATTGTGTTTCAGTTCACTCTCTTTAATGTTCCTTGTTATGCCAATTAATTTACTATACTATACAAAGTAAATACATGTAGGCAGCTCTCAGTTATTTACATATCGTCGTTTAAAGTACATTCTTCAAAAGCGCGTAACTGACATTTGCTGCCAAAAATTGGATCTCACACAAGCTCTTGGCTCAATCCTTATCCATTCGTCCCGAAATATACTAGCCAGAAATGCGGTTGCTTTATAAAAAAGAGAACCATTTTGAAATATGAGAGTTCTTACTCTCTAGAAAATAATTTATGCAACCTCACATACGCGGTTTTGCAATATCTTGATAGAGTTTTGATTGGTAATAGCAAAAATATGGTTCATTATGCTCTAAAAAAATATGTGGGAAATGTAAAAATTTTTGGTCAATATCCTAGGCTCGCCCAAGTCCATCAAAGTTCAAGTACTAAAAAAATTGGTTTCTTAGCTAACTTCGATTCTCTACAAAAAGGTCCATATGCCAAATTATGTAGGACTAATACTTTCGAAGATTATTGCAATTTTAGTAAAAAAATGTATTAATTAATTTATTTATTAATTTTTATTTTTTGAGCATACTGAACTTTGATGAACTTGGGCGAGCCTAGGATATTGACTAAAAAATTCTCAAATTTCACACAGATTTTTTAAGCATAATGACTATATTTTTGCTATTGCCAATCAAAGTTCTAAAAACGCGGATTCTCGGCCCACATTAATGTACAGTGGTCTACAAAATAATAGGAATGCGATGTTTTGACCAGTTTTGGTTATTTGTCTTTATTTTATTTAATGCTAGCTGGTCATACAACAAACACCATATAAATTCAGATTTCAAACTTTGTGTATTATAAAAAATATCGCAAATTTTCGCCCAAATTTCAAACTTTTTAATCAGTCTTTAGAAACAATTTTGGTATGCAGTTTAGTGGCCCATTTAACTCTAGTATAATAAAATGCAAGTTTCAAGATGCTAAAAAATCCTGATTCTGATTAAAAAGTTTGAATTTGGGTAAAAATATGCAAAATTTTTATAATTTTTGTACAAAGTTTAAAATCTGAATTTATATAGTGTTTGTTGTATAGCCAGCTAGACTTTTATAAAAAAAAAGATAATAAACATTAACCGCCCAATTCTGTGTTTTCTTGATAAGCTTTTTGTGAAGAACATTCATCAAGATTTTTATCAAGTAAAAGCTTCCTTCGCATTCTGTGTCAATATTTATAAAACAAAAAGCTCTACGATTTCCACATTAGTGGAACTATTTCCACATGAGTGGAACTGATTTCACTGTCACATATGAAAAATATGAATTTCAAAGCAAAAAGCTTTTGACTGCCGTAGACGAGTAGGTAGAGATGTTGACTGTAATTCCGTGTGTCGCAGGTTCAAATTTCCGAACATGGAGTATTTAATTGTTAGAAACAAATTCATTAATTCATTAATGTACAAAATATATACATTTCATATGAACTTTCAATTTGTCAATAGAATTTTTAATCAAGAAGAGCTTTTGATTTCTGTTCTAGAATACCAATTCTGCATAAATAATAAAGATTTTCAATTTATCAAGTGCACAGAATCGGGCTGTAAATCAACAAAAGACAAACAGCCAAGACTGGTCAAAATATCGCACTCCTATTATTTTGTGGACAACTGTATGTATCATACTTTAACGCACCTAGTGCAAAACCCCCCTTTTACGAGGGTGGATTGAAAAGTCGTTAGAATGAAAAACTAGACATTGGTTTTTTAACAAAAAATTGATTTATTTTTCAACATAATCTCCTTTTAAGTCAATACATTTTTTCCAACGCTTTTCTAACATATTTATTCCTTCTCTAAAATAAGTTTTTTTCAAAACCTTCAAAATAAGTATTTGTTGCAGCTATAACTTCACTATTTGACACAAATCTTTTTCCGCCGAGCCATTTTTTCATATTTGGAAAAAGGAAAAAGTCACTGGAATATAAATCTGGCGAATATGGCGGATGAGGGAGCAATTCATAGCCTAACTCATTTATTTTTTCCTGCGTTTTCCAAGATGAATGTGAAGGAGCGTTATCATGATGAAAGAGGATTTTCTTCTTTTTCAAATGTGGCCGTTTTTGCTTAATATTTTGGTCCAATGTATCCAACAAAGATGAATAATATTCAGCTGTGATGGTTTTACCCTTTTCAAGATAATCTATGAAAATTATACCTTGTGCATCCCAAAAAATAAATGCCATAACCTTACCAGCTGATGCAACGACCTTTGCCTTCTTTGGAGCACTTGAGCCACGTTCTACCCATTGTTTGGACTGTTCTTTAGACTCTGGTGTATAGTGGTGGATCCACGTTTCATCCATCGTTATGAAACGACGCATAAATTCCGATGGATTTCTGTTAAACATGTCTAAACCAACTTCTGAAGTCGACATTCGGTTCATTTTTTGCAGAGGAGTTAGCAAACGCGGCACCCATCTTGCTGAAAGCTTTTTCATACCCAATTCATCATGTATTATGTTATGCACACGTTCATAACTAATGTTCACAATGTCAGCAATCTCTCTCAATTTAATTCTTCGATCTTGAGTGACAATTTTGTACACAATTTTTCCACCGTTTCTGGAGTCGTTACCTCTTTTGGCCTCCCAGAGCGTGGCTCATCTTTGGTGCTTATCCGACCACGTTTAAACTCGTTTACCCAATTGTAAACTGTTGCATTTGAGGGTGCATGTTCCCCTAATACTGTCTGCAACTCCTCAATAATTTGTTTCTGGTTTAAACCTTTCAAATGAAAGTACTTTATAACAGCACGAAGTTCACTTTTTTCCATTTTTAATAAAAATACAAGTGTTTTGCAAAAATAATTCTCAAAAAAGTACCGTTTGACCATATGTTATGAAATTTTGACAGCTCGCTTTTGACAGTTCACTTTTAACATTCACAATAATTAAGTAAATTAATGACCGATAGATGTCGCAATTCTAACGACTTTTCAATCCACCCTCGTAGTCTTTTAATAAATGAGAAATATGTTCAATATATGTACCTTGTGGACTTCGATGAGCTTGCAGTGAGCTTTAAATAAAGGTAAAATATCTTTCACGTTGTCATTATTTTGTTGTGATGTAAGCAATGAATATGACATTAAACCCTCCAAAAAGTTCATTTGTTGCTCCAGCAAGGCGATTTTTAATGGATTCCAGTTGTCATTCTGAAAAGTTAAGATATTTAAAATTTCTCAAACTACAGAAATAGTAAAAAAATCCTTTCCATTACCTTTTCTTCGAATTGGAGGTCTTTATTTATGACCTTCTTCACAGCCAAATGTAATAATCTTTGCATTTCCCCTACATCATATTCAACATCGAATTGCTGAAATTGAGACAAACAATGGCTAATAAACTGTATCAGAAGTCCAAGATTATCTTGTATCTGTATTTCATAGACATTTTCTGTGGCAGAGCACACTACTTTCTCAAACAACACACAGAAATCCTCAACTTCACCGTTCACTGTAGAAACGCGAAAAAAAGATCGAAAATGCCAATCAATAAATTGAAGCACGTGCGGCACAAGCTTCGGATTCAATTCTACTGCGCGCTGTAAGTCTAAAGAAAAAAGAAAAATTACACTGTCATACAGAATTTAGGTTCATGTCTCTGTATTTGAAAAAACCAAAATGAAATGAAAGCTTACACCTCCCATAGCGAAATTCCAAAAGGGTTTTAGCCACAGATCTGGTTTATTTTTTATGCGTATTTAAGGTTGGTGACCCTGTATACAAGAAAAATTTTATAAAATTCGTTCAAATAATGAAATTCTTCGGGAAAGTTATAGTATGTTTCTGTTTTTTAAATCTATTAACTCATTTTTGATGTTTTTTACCTAAAACTTACGCTAGGTGGCGCAGTGGTACAATTTTTGCTATTTTTATGTGTTTTTGCCGAAAAATAGTGTTTTCACTGTTTTTTAGGCTGAGTAATCAATCATTTATGCCAGTTTCATGATTAAAGTTAAGCTAGATGATGTGACAAATATCAACACTTTCTTTTGTTAAAAAATATAGCATTATCGTGATAAAAAGTGTTTATGTGAAATGTAAAAAAAAATAACATTTCATAACAATTCTTTCTTAATTAAGAAATATTATTTTCTATTAGAAAATCGGTTTTTATTTACACTTAGAAAAATTATGGTATGGAAGTACTTAAAAAAAATTGCTAAAAAATTATGAAAAAAACGAAAAAACTAGAACTGTATTTTTTCAACCTGGCCTATTTAATACTATACGTATTACTTTTACTTTTGTTAACACGCGGTATTAATGACAGCAGCAAAAAATCTAAACACTGTGTTTTTATATATTGTGAAATAAATTAAATTAAGAATGAATTACTGTTTAAAAAATTTGCAACATTGCTGTTATATTCTTGGAAAATTTAACATAGCAATCAGTCTGACTGATATACGTAGGGAGGCCAGATGCGCTGATTTAATCAGCTGATTTTTAAGAACCGAAATCCGTACGCAAAATCTCCTTATTTTCTGAGTTTGTACTCATTTTTGGATTTAATAAATATTTTTGTGAATTGGAATAATAAACATTTACTTGAGGTTAACATGTTGTGAGCAAATTGAAAGCAATTTATTGAACATGTTGATGCAGCGTTAATTAAAATTAAACAATTTTTCAAAAAATGTAACCTTGAAACTGTTTCGTTTCCTAGCATTTTACAAAATAACTGCTTGAATTCAACACAATAAAATAGCCTGTTCCAGGTACTTCACGATATCCAGGTTTTACAGGATTTACAGGAAAAGCTGTTTTCGTCATTAATAAATCTTATGGAAGGTGGCGACCGGGACTGACTTCCTGTAAAAACCTGCAAATCGTGAAGCACCTGGAACAGACTTAGGGTCAGTTTTTCAGTGCACGGCCGTGGTTTAAACTAAGTTTAAACGCCCGATCCGGCTGGTTTAAACTAAGATCAGTCAATCAAATGTCAGCCAGCGGTTCAATTTAAACTCAGTTTACTTAATCTAAGTTTAAACTGGCACTGAAAAACTGCCCCTAATTATTTTAAACTGCCGACCACTGCTTTTGTGCTTCTTGTGTAATGTATGTATGTAAGTTCGAAAAATTTGGAAAAGGTGCAAATAACCAACTCTTGGTTATAATATATGTAGTTTTACTTTGATTTTTGATGTTCGACCACCTGTAATTTTACTTGCACATACACATTTAACACTATTAAATTTCATTCGAACTCGAAAATTCGTTTACCGATAATTCGGTAATATACCTTTTAGGCAACATTTTATTGTGAAGTTGTATTTAATAAGCACACCAACTAAATTTGTTTTAAATTTGTAGCTTAATCAAATAAATTCTTACTTGAGTTCTTCTACTGTAACTGAATTTTCAATTTTTATAAATTTTCCAGAAAATTTTAAAATTTAACTTACATGGTTTTTGTCATAGAATTAACTATATTTTTATAAAAAAAATAAATTAAGTTAGGAAAGAAAAACTTATCGTTACATTTTACTAATATTTTTGTGAACACAACTGTACATACACACGTAATACCTTTGCTTTGTTTTACTATTAAATTAATGAACTGTTACACCGATAATACTAAATGTATTTAATCGTCTTTTAGGTATTTTTATGTTAAATTAATGCGCTGTTATTTGGTTGGTATATTGTTACTAAACGAAAAAACGCTTAAAAATAAGCAGATATTTATGGCTTTGTATTGATTTTTGATGCCAACTGTACTGGTTATGTCACTAAAATATCTGGCTATCCTAGATACACGCAACAGTACGAAAGAAAGGTATGAGCAATATTTTGGAATGTCTGTAAGATAAATAAAAGCCTATTTGTTTTTCAGAGAAAATATTATTTTTTAATTAAGAAAGTCTTTTTCCCTATACAAATTTTATTTTTTCTCATAAAACATTTCACATAAACACTTTTTATCACGATAATGCTTTATTTTTTAACAAATATAAAGAACTGAGCTTTTTAACATCATAATGCATAATTTTTACAAGGAAAAGCCATAAAAAATGCATTACTCAGCCTTAAAAACAGTAAAAATACTATTTTTCGATGAAAGCCCATAAGCGATAGCAAACATTTTACCACAGCGCTACCTAGCGTAAGTTTTAGTTAATAACAAACATCAAAAATGAATTCCTCGACCCAAAAAACAGAATTTTACTAATTTTTTGCAGGGTCACCAACCTTAAATACGCATAAAAACTAAACCAGATCTATAGGCTAACAAACAGTGTTGCCACTACCTTAGCCTTTAAAGTATCTATAAAAAATCGAAAACTGTATCTAAATGTATCAACTGAAAAGAGCGGACATTTTTACATAGAAAAGTCGGCCCCTTAACAATCCTATTCCCATCCTAAGACACGGATTTGGAATCAAAGACCCGTAGTTATAATCAAAATTAAGTCGGCTCATAAAGTTAATTGCAGCTTTTTGACATAATTTTCAATGAGATACCTGTCAAAAAAGCTGCAACTAAGTTTAATGTCGACTTAATTTTGACATAACTACGGGCCAAAGTCTCCACATGTTCGATGTTTATTACTACGATTATATATATATATAGATTGGCGCTTACACATATGTTAGTGTTTGGCCGAGCTTCTCCTCCGACTTGTGGCGTGCGCCTTGATATTGTCACACAAAGCGGAAGGACCTACAGTTTTACGCCGACTCCGAACGGCGATTGTAGTTTTATGAGAAGCTGTTCATGGCAGAAGTACACTCGGAGGTTTGCTATTACCTCCCGACGCACGACCGCTGTTAAGAAAAAAACCTTTTTTCTATATTTTTTGCGATGTTGCGATGTTACTACGATTATATTCCCACAAATAATACATGCAAAAAAGGTTTCATGGTCTATCAAAATAATACTAATTTAAACAGATTTTGACCTGTTACATTTAGTTCAATAAATTGTTATTTCCTGCTATTATGGCTAACGACATATGTATAACTGAAAATTTAGAAGTTACAAGTTATTTTTAGTTCAGTCTAGTTATTTTTAAAAATTAGTCATCGGCATGGTTATCAATTTCCTTTGAATGCTAAGAGAAGGGTTGCTTGGGATGTAAAAGTTGATTTTTCGCATTACAGTTAACTACTACAGGTCGGAAAACTTTATAAAATTTGCAAACTACTTGGTGTTATTAAAATCACATTTATGTAGCTAAAAAATTAATTTTTCAACGTGACAAGAACAAAGGAAAATTTCTTGCTTGGAGGATGAGCAGCCAACTGTTAAAAATGTTATAATAGCTCGTACATAAATACAAAAAAATTCTTTAATCTTACGCATACTTATGGGAAAAGGTATGCAAATTTACACTCAGAAAAAAACGACGTATCCCTCAAAATTTAAGGCGAAAATGTATCCAATTGGATACATGTGTATCAAAACGGCAACACTGCTAAAAATTTTTTTGGGATTTGGTTATGGGAGGTGTGAGCTTTCATATATATTTTTTTCTTTACTTTAGATTTCATCAAATACAGAGAATCTTGTTGCACTGTGTTATTGCTGGAAAATATGATTAAATACATATATAACCATCAATGCAAAATGCCATAACACTCTTTGAGAAATGCGTTTTTTATTACATATTGGCATCTTTAGCTCTTCAAACACTTTCCATGACGATTTAAAAAGTTGTTTTTGTAAAATAAGACCTTTTGCATTGATGGTGACGACATGGGCCATTCCGTCGTAAGGGTCGTAATATTTGTGAGACAATTTAGGGATTCACAACGGTCTCGGAGTGGTGTTGTTGTATGCCGTAAACTTTAAAAGCTAAAATAAATGTTTAGAGAACTTGAAGCCACAACCAGCTATTTTTCAACACTGCGAAAATGCATAATATGACTTGATGGTACTTTGCGAACCCCCTTAATATATTTTTAGGCGTTTAAAGATTACGACATACAACAATACGACACTTACGACACCGTAGTGAATACCCCAATCGTTTATTCAGATTTTGAGAGCCTCAACAAATTATCATCGATCATTTAGATTTGGGTAAGCATAAAGAAACGAAATTTGCAATTGAAAATGTAACTATGTTCCACTAAATGAACGTAATGATTCTTGCCAATTTTGGGACCTTTATCTTTCAGACATCGCACAGATCGAAATAAATCTGTGATTTCACACGTTTAGTTTACTTATCAAAAACAAACGAAAAGCGGAAGGAAGGCAAGAAATTAAGTGAAAAACGTTGTGTTGCCTTGTGTTATCTTAAATGCGTTTAATCCCTGTCTGACACCAACAACAATTATCGAAACTTAACTTATTTACATAACTGGGTGGTAACATAGGTTACCGAATGGACTGGGTACACAATTTTTATTGTGCAATATGCTGTATTACAACTTCTGGTCGTTAAAATTCTGTATTGTAAACTTCTTTATTGTGAAATGAGTGCGCATTTCTTATTACACGTACGGGTTTCAGAAGGTTATATGTATTAAGGCAATATTGGGCAATTTTTGGGTAAATTAAAAAAAAAAATTACCAAGTGCTTATTTGCCAATATTATC